TCTTCTTTTCCTTTTTTTCTTATTCTTCTTCACATCCCACTCCCCCTCTCTATTACACCCCACGTCGTTCGTTTGTTTATTTATTTAAAAAAAAAATAATATATGTTTCATTAGTTTAAAAAATAAAGCGTTAAGAAGTTATTTGATAAAAATTGCCTGAGGATATCATAAGGTTGAAACCAAGGTAACGGATACAACTGATCTCTTTATTTTTAAAGTATCTATCTATCTATCTATCTATCTATGTATCTATGTGTGTGTGTGTGTGTGTGTGTGTGTGTGTGTGTGTGTGTGTGTGTGTGTGTGTGTGTGATAGAAATATTCTTTGAAGATATGTTATATTTATGGGATAAAGTGCTCACAATCAGGATAATTTTAAAAGTGGACATTGCGTTTAGGTATGAAACACGCTGGGTGTTGACCTCATTGTACATTTACATATGTATATAATATATATAATGTATGTACACGTATGTGCAAGAACAATAAAACAATTAAATATGCTTGCGTGCATACACTTGTATTTATACTTATATGTACCGGCTTATGTGTATGCACGATACTACTTATGTATGTGTATATTCTAGAGGTCACTTGGAAAAATACAACGCTCCAATGTTGTCCAGAATATTAGAGGTTATTAGTGGCTCCTAGAATTTAGCATAGATTTATAATCCTAATATCCTTAAGCGATTATTGCCAAAAACACCAACATTTCATGAATTCTCTTAACGCTATTTCTGGCATAAGGAAAGGAACAAATTAACAAACATTGCGTCGAAATTATCAGACGCCACCAATATCAGTAAAAATATCGAGAAATATTTTTTATGGAGTTAGAAACATATTTACATTGAGAAGAAACGGCATATATTGAAACAAAAAAATTGGATATGCGACTCCGTGTAACATAAAAGGCTTGAAACAAGATTAAAAAAAAACTATTTGTATTTATTTGAACAAAATTTATTTATGTTAGAGAAATTATACTAAACTTCATAGATGGATGATTTTATAAAAATATCCTGTACATGTCTAAAACAATAGAATAAAATTGTCGGTCTCAATAGCTGAGTGAACTGTAAGCAAATAAAGTTTGATCGTTATATTTGTTTCCAAAATATTTGATCAAAGTGAAATTTTCTTGCACAAAAAACTTGTTTTTTGTATCTTGGCGGTATTAAACAAAATCATATACGCGCAACAAACATAATTATTTTACTTAATATTCAGCAAATCATATTATCTATTCGGTTGTTCGGAAAATAAAGTCCGATTCATGAATAAACTTTTATTCTTGATTTAATGTATTTAAACAGTGTTTAAATCAGTCAAAATAGAAAACCTGAACAACGTTATTGATATCTACGATAAAAATCAAAAGGTTTGGAAGCCAAGAAATCTTTGAAAACAGTTTCTGAATATTCCTTGTAATGTCTTCTGGCTTAAAATATTGGCAAAATGCTTGAAAGAGTTGTATTCAGTGGGCAAAACATGTGGAGAATTTGATGATTGTGGCAATGTCTCGTATCTTCTGCAGTGTCATTCTGGTAACATGTGACCGAATATTTTCCTGAAGCAGTATTAGACCACGTCGATTAACCAGTGCCAGTGGCATTTTTGCTTAACTGAATGTGCCTTTAATGCAGTTGCTCTCAGTAAGCTTCAGCAATGATGCCTTATTTAGATTCCACAAAGCTTGTAATGGATAATACAAATGGTAGATCACCAGGCAGTCAATACAATCTTCTGCTAAAAAAGGCAAATACATTTCTACTTCTTTCATGTTCCAGAATCATGGTATATAATGTTTTAAGTTAAATTCAGAAAGAGATTGTTATAAAATTACCAAAGAGACATTTTAATCATTTGGAATTAGTAATAACGTTTTGTACAACTCTTCTAATATACTAGAACGTAAATAGTTTTATTCTAAAATCGGACATTATATTTTCAAAAAACCTAATACAAAAACTATTATTTGAATTGAAGTGTTTTTATACTGGTGCCATTATTACGAATAGAATACACTTGATTATAAAAACTTACCGTCTTAATGATGGGAAATATATGAAAAATTCTCATATTATTTCACACGTTGTCTGCCATGCCACCATTTCAGTTCACGCTCTGTCTCCAGATACTAGTGACCGTTATATTTTCGTTTGAAGTTGCTAAATATTGGAGAAGCTCTATGTATATTTATATAAAGCAATATTTGTTGCTTCCTATGAATTTTAGAAAAATGTATATGCCACTTTGTTTGTTTTACCATTTATTTGAATCTTTTATAAATGAATAGTAGATATAATCCCCCGGAAAAAAAAACTCAATGTAAACATTTATTGATTCAACTACAATATTAGTAATATTTGCGGATTTCATCTTAGTAGCAATTATAAAATAAATGTAAATCACATTTATCTAAGTAATAATGCATCTTCACTTGCCATGAAACATATAATTGTTAGAAAATAACGTATATTATACACACTACAGTGAAAAAGTTTGAAGAAACACCAGAATTAGCATGGGATGAACTTGTTAAGAAAGCGAAACCTTTCCACGAACAAAATAAAAAAGAACTCGGAGAGATATTGAAAAAAAGTATGGAATCAATTATTAAATTTATACTTTCAGAAACCTTTACAATAAATGCCAAAAATTTGTGCTGAAGTAATCAGCGCTACAGGACGCTATTTGGACGAGATCAAAATTGAATCATAAAATACTTCTTTATGTTGTAATAACAGTTCTAATAAAAATTATGTCTCACTTTTTAATCATATATAAAAATTTCGTCTTATTTAAAGTACAAAACAAATTCTTTCTGTGTCATTTTAAAAGATTACAAGCAGTGGCCTTAAACTTCTGAGAGGTAGCTGTATAACATTTGATAAATCCAAAAAAAAATGTTATCTACATAAAAAGTTGGTGACATCGCTTCTGAGGTTAGGAAAAAATAGCGGGCATTTTCTAAAAAAAAAATATTAGCACAAAGCTTTCATTGATACCTATCATATTTTTTATAAAGTAATTCTTAGGAAAATTTAAAAAAAAGATATTGGCCCCCACATGACACTATACTGACTTGAGATAGCAATCAAAATGTTAAAAACGTTGAAATCTTCAGGATATATCTGCTATAATTTGGCAAAAGGAGTAAATAAAAGTAAAAAAAAAGATTCATAATAATATGTATGTAAATCTAGTGGCTTTATTGACTTGTCTGGTGTGAAATGATTAAAACAAAATATAGCAAAAATGAAATTATTATTTCTGAGGATATTTCACTTGTCTATCGATTATGACTGCTTAAAGGAAGGAATCGCTTATAATTAGTCTTATTAAAAGAACAAGAAGAATCAGCAATGGACTTTATTTAGCATTTACACAGAGTATAAATTTATATTCAATTTATTATAAATTTAAATGACTGCACTTGAGAAATAAGGTATGTCATGTGCGAAATGTAGTATTTAAAAATATATATAGCACGCGTTAAATAGCAGTTGTAGACTGGGGCTAGTGTTGCAATCAGTCAAGAAGAAGGATTCAATGCCTTGAAGAAAGGAAGGGAAAAACCTTTCACTCTCAGTCCGAAGAATCATAATAATTTATAGATAATAAAGAAAAGGAAGATTTGGAGAACCATAATTGCCAAGGTTGGGAAGCCACATCGTAATAAAAGCTAAAATACAGTAATGGTTACATGCCTGTTTATTGGAAATACAACAGTGAATCATTGCAACTATTCCATGCTATGATTATAGGAAAATTAATAACAGCTTATGCATTTATAAATATATTGTCGACCGCCTGAGAGGATGAGGCTTGTTCTAATTTGCTTACCAGTGGCCACTAAACTCCGTAGGCAATATTCCAGATAATGATTTTCGTGGCATGCAAGCTGACATTCCGAGAAGCTGAATACAACTTGATCAGAGTAGAATCATAAATCGTTGATGAAATGTCGAATATAGCAATAAAATCATAGAACACATTGACTAATATTATATATGGTTACATGTTGGGTCAAAAATATCTTGTATTTTGACAAATGCAATATGCATGTGTAGACATGAGAAAACTTGCAAATATATAACATTGGCGATATATAACAATTTATTCAGAAATAAAACATGCTGTTGAGCGTCTAAAGTGAATTTCTGCGATTGTTATGACATCGGATAACGAAGGTATGAGTAGTAATCTAATAAAGTTTTCATTGGTATAATATATATCTACCATGCATTTACAACTCCAACACACACACACTCTCTCTCTATCTCTCTCTCTCTTCCTCTCTCTCGCTATTTCTTGTTATATATATATATATATATATATATATATATATATATAATTTAAATTTTCAAAAGATTCAACCTTACTGTTGCGACTACACGCACCACAAGTTTATATCTGTTATCGGTAACACACTTCAAAAAAGCATATTTCGATTTGCATTATAAGTTTTCGTCTCGGATGCTACCTGAATTTTATCAAAAAGAAAACAGTTTCCATGCCTGATGATGACCGGAGAACCTGTCGAAAGTACTTGCATATTTAAGGAAGACCTAATACAATTTATAATTAAAAAAAACCCATAAAAAACAAGGATCATAATATTCATCGAGTGGTTAGTGGTTTAAAGCATTTTTAAAATTTATTTAGCGAAGTGAATCGCCACTTTATCTCATTAACATTACTAATTTACTTTTTTGTATGAATGATTCCGTGTAATATATATATATATATATATATATATATATATATATATATATATATATGATAAAAATATAGGTTTATGATATGCTATATTAATTGGTAAAACTTTTATGTTTGGACGCAATCTTCAGAGCTCACAACCAAATCACGTTGAAACACCGGTTCGTGCACAATCACCGAAGTTAAGCAACGTCGAACGTGGTCAGTACCTAGTTGAATGTTCGTGTGGTGAAATGGATAAGACCTCGGAATGAGAAATGGTAACTTACGGCTTACGGCCAGATCACGTCGAAACAGCGGTACCCGTATGATCACCTAAGTTAAGCAACTCCAAGCCTGGTTATTACCTAGATGGGTGACGGCTTGTTAATATCAGGCGCTGTAATCATGGATGTAGGAGTGATTTCTCAATTGCAAGTCTTCAAATATGGATAGATTTGGCTTATATAATATTTTATCAAAAAGGAAAAAAAAGCGAAAAAAAAACCCTGAAATATCTATTTATTCGCTCATTATAAATACAGTGTTCAAACAGTAAACAAACAAATTCAGAGGCCTTCCACTGCCGACTTGGTAAATCCAAGAAATCATCTATTCCTGCATATCCAGTAAGATCACATTTTAGTTGTTAATAATTTATATCAAGTCCATACAACCAATTTCCGTGACATTCACCATGGCTGAATAAGTTTCGGATAGGCCTTCATATAATGTTCTATCTATGTGATTAATTAACCGAATTAAGTGCATTGACAATGAATGATATTACATTGAAAATTATAATGACTGTTGAATATTTTTCATCAGCTGACAGAATTATTGATATACCTGCGTGCCTCTAACTGGCACTATTTTTAAGTAAAGATGACAAAGATATATATTGCAGAAAAAAAAAACCTTTAATAAGTGATTCATTCTTTACTTACCTTTATCTTCCTCTCTTTCTCGCCATATATATATATATATATATATATATATATATATGAAAGATCAAGTATAGATCAGAAGTGGATTAGATTCCAAAATGATACGATAAAGAACAAATAGGAAACGTTTATCAATCTAACATATTTCAGATAGAGAGAATACAGACAAATAGTGAGAACTTTGATATTTTTCAATTTTCTTTGGGTAAAGTCCGTGACTGACCAACGAGAATTGATCCATACAAAATTCAAAAATATGAAAAGCCTGTCTTTTTGTTAATATTCCCTCAATTGTTGGCGTAGCTCTAATAATTGAAACATGTAAGATTGATATACATTTCCTATTTTTTATTTATCGTGTGTGTGTGTGTGTGTGTGTGTGTGTGTGTTTACCGGATATACTCGCATATCATATGAATTCTGAAGACCTAATTTTGAAGCTAATTTTAAGGGGGTCGCTTCCTACATGAGATATAAAATTAACGTATGTACTGCTGGCCCTGGCTATGCTGTTCACCAAGTTATATATCCATTCACTGTCGTCAAATTAGCTTCAAAATTAGCTCTTCAAGAGTCGAATGATATGCGAGCTTATACGGTATATATATATATATATATATATATATATATATATATATATATATATATATATATATATATGCGTATGTTAAACTGTATTTGTGTTACAATGAGAAATTGAATAACACTGGATATTGTTTTTCGTTGTCCTCATCATAAACTAATTAGCATAATTTGTTAGATGCTAACCTAAAAGGAAGCCTTTCAAATAAGACTGGGAAATCTTGCCCAAAGACGATTCGTTATTTATAATTTAAATAGATTTTCCTAGTCAAAATTCACAATAAATGAATTTATTTTTCTGAGAATAAATAGAAAAAAAAATAAATCAAAAGTCAATAAAACGGTGCTAATAAAGGAAATCATGAATTTCTTTTGACATTCAACATATACCCGATGGATATTCCTATCAACCAATCTTGCGACTTTTCACCCATTTCATACGTTACTCTATCTATCTGTCTATCTATCTATCTATCTATCTATCTATCTATCTATCTATATGCCATTATATTCATTACTATATCAGTCAGTCTATCTATCCAAGTATGATCTTATCTATTTATCTCTTTCACAATCCATATCTATATATCCCAGTTGATTGTTATCTCAGAATCCAAATCTATTCTGATCTATCTATCTATCTATCTATCTATCTATCTATCTATCTATCTATCTATCTATCTATCTATCCGAATTTATCCATATCTATTTATCTCTTACACTATTCGTCTCTACATATCCCAATCGATTCAAATATAATTATCCCAGTCTATCTATCTATCTATCTATCTATCTATCTATCTATCTATCTATCTATCTATCACAGTATGTTCATATCTATCTATCACAGTATGTTCATATCTATCTATCTATCTATAAAAAGAATACCCGCTCGGCCCGGTGGCTAGGATCAAAGTGTAGTATCTGCGCTTTGTGAGCTGCCGGGTCGGGTGTCTGTCGAACTCTCTGCTTGCAGAGAGGAACCCGGACGAAGCTCCGCCGAAGGGTAGGGTTTCGTTGGGGGAAGTTGACGGAACTAGCCCGCTTGGACGGGTTTAGATGGGTTTTATTTTTGGCTGGGCCTACGGGCTCAAACATACCCACATTAAAAAGGCCTTGTGCCACATTCAATTCCTGTGGGTGAATTGATAAATACTATCTATCTATCTATCTATCTATCTATCTATCATATTCATAACTATATCAGTCAATCTATCTGTCTGTTCTTATCTATTTATCTCTTTCACTATCCATATCTATATATCCCAGTCGATTGTTATCTCAGTATCCAAATCTATCTATCTATCTATCTATCTATCTATCTATCTATCTATCTATCTATCTATCTCCGTCAGTTTACTCTTCGTATTTAAATATTATAAAAATATGTGAATACTATAAAAAGGTATGTCTGTGAGAGGATATGTATTTTGAAGTGATGTATTAACGTTCTTACATATACACACAAATATACATATATAAATATATAATGTGTCTGAATAAAATTTATATATTTATATCATTTTTTAAATATTGATAGCTCTTTGGCTCTTTATGAAAAACAATTACAAAATATAATAAAGAGATAAAATGAAGACTGTTGGAAAATCACTGGCAAGGAGCTAAATACATTTTCCGTTTCGTGCATTAATATTTCAAGACACATTATAGCCTCGAGTTGTCTCGTAAATATTATTAAAACTTTTCAAAAATATTTTTTCCTTTTTTTGAATCATAAATTTACTGCAGTATCTGACGTCCCCAGGATAAGGCGTTCTGAAACATCTGTCAATTTGTTGTTGGGATAATATATGGTCATAAATAAAGGTCTGCCTAATAGACACAAACGATGCATGGCTCCAGTGTTATAACTCAGTGCGGAAACTCCAGATCACGTGATTTTAACATGCAGTTACTCTGTAAATCTTGGAAGAGTAGCTGATTTCCGACGAGTATGCTGTTTTATTTCGAGCAAGTCGAAATGTTATTTCTACCAATATTTTTTTAACACTTTCCATAAAATACGAGGATAACATCAATAAGGTCAATACATCGTTATTAATCTAATCGATAGCATCACTAGTAGCAAATACATAAAACTTTTGTCACTTCAATGACTATATTATCTTGAAAATGTGTGTAATGTTTCTAAATAGCCTCTTCAAAATCAATCTCTCATAAGGATGTCTTTCACTACATACAACCCATTAAGATATGTCTAAACTATCATCTGTATACAGTCAAACTAGTGACGTTCCATCATCCCAAAGTGAACTCTGAATTATCGCCTATAGCAATGAACGAACCACCTCTCAGGTAACCCTTCACTTAAGTGGCGTAAAATAATCTTTCATGTCAACCATGTCAATCTGTAAGTCGTCCATCCGAATGAATTATGTAGAGGCTGATATGCCGCTAAACAAAACCAACCAATCAACCAAGCAACGAATGAATTATTATCACGAGCAGATATTTTACAAGAAGATTGATGCATATTGGACGTCGGCACAATCTTTGGGGGGGGGGTTACAACTTTGCTGCTTTCGTTAGAAACACTCTACAATATAACCGACCATTTGGTTTAATTGCCTATCAAGATGCCAAAAGCGTCGTTGAGGGTGATGAATTATTTTCCACTCGACACATCTATTTTCCCAAAGAGGAACCTTAGCAAGTTTTTCGCTACTCTATCGCTATTTCCATGGAAAGTCTTCATACGAATTGCATTTAGCTCCCCTAGTTCTAACTGTCACGGTTAAAACCTTCCATGCCACGCCCAGTTTAGCGAACCACCTTAATTCCCTTCGTATTCCATTGGGACGATGTAACTTTTACTTGAACAGCTTCTTCCTACTAACGTCTACTTTGTGGAACCGACTCTCAAGAATATGCTTCCCCGATCACTACAATCTTACCTTGTTTAATTCTAGGGTTAACCATCATTTTCCTCGCATATCATAATAAACCGTGTCTCTTTCCTTTTAATCTGTAACCCTCTATCTTGATTGGCTCCTGAGCCTGGTACATGATGAACAGTATTAAAAAAAAAAAGTCCTCTCAGATCAATGACTTGAAGCAAATTAATTCTTGAGATCTTAAAAAGACGATCCTCCATCAGATTCTATAGATTAACTCTACAAAATCGCAAATAACGAGCTTTACTAAATTATACAAACAATACCACACCTGAAAATTGATGCACATGTAATTAGAAAGAAAAATAATGATACAATAAAGGTGCTACCTGTCAACTCAGCCAGTCAGTTTTGTGCCATGCGTGATAGACGCTTAAGCGATCATGTATCTTTCGATACATGACTGACGAGGTAGGTTGCCATTTCTTTCTACGGTAGGCCATCCAAGGCTATAGAACCCGGTCCTGCTATTTACTCATAGCTGGTGGTGGTGGGGGGAAGAAGATGATTCATAAATTTCCCAAGGGTATTAGCATGGAATTCGAACACGACTTTCTCAATTTCTCCGATTCCTCAATTCGAGCTGTTATCTATTACTCCACCGAGCCTGTCAATCACAGACTGCAAAAGATTTGTAATGAACTCCTGTAAATATAATAATAATTCTGATCGATTCGATAAGATAAAATTAGCAGTTGATCTCAAAAGTGGCCGAAAATTTGCTGTCAACTGGTGCAAGGAATGTTAATTTTAACACTTCCTAAACACAACTGCTTTTTGTTAATCATCTGAAAGACCCCAGTCAGCCTTCCATCAGCATGGCTAATGCTAACCTTCAGGAGACTGATTCGTTACGCCTTCTCGGACTATCGTTTTCCACTAATTTGAAGTGGAAAGACTATATTGAATATATTGCTAAGTCTGCTGCTGGAAAATTAAATCATTGTGTCTTTTTAGAAATTTTGCTTCCCACAATCAATCTTAGATATTTATAAGTCTACCATTATCCCATGCCTCAAATATTACTGCCACATATTGTCTGCTGCTGCTGCTCTATTTTTAGAGAAGAACAATCTGTAATGTTATTAGTTTCGACCTGGCATCTCGGCTGCAGTTACTTTCCCAGCGTCCTTTCTATATATAATTTCAGAGAAATCGTTCTGATGAGCCTTGCTCTATGGTAATTTAGATTTTATGAATTTAAACGCAGTACTACATTGGCAACAAGGTCTCGTCGTTTTACAGTTCAGTTGACGAAGTGCACTCATACGTACTTTGTTAACAGTTTCTTTCCTCGAACATCTCGCCCGTGGGACGTTTTTCCGGCTTTTAGCTTTCCTGTCAACTTTGATCTTCAAAAATTTAAATGCAATATCAATAGTTATTATAACGCCATTATTCTATGGCTATTGTTACAAAAACACTCTTACGTACTTCGTATAAGGAACCTCTCTATACGTAATGTTTTGGATACTTGTCATGGCTCTTGTATTAATTAGACTGAAACTAACTCCAAACGGCTAGGTATTTACCCATGCCTCCTCACAGACAAGGTCAGGTTCAATGGGGGAACCAAAGTGTATACACTCGGACCGCTGGTTCAACATTTAGCCATCCCATGCAACCACAGGTAACGAGCACCTTTGCTTGTTTGTTCTACTCAGCCGTGTCTCTATCAGTATGCACAGGCACAACTCAGTCACCCTCTGCTAAAAATCAAATGTCTTGTCAGTCGAAAGCAAGAAAGCGAACTATCTGACTCGAAACGACCCAGCCTCCCAACTATATGACACACACACACACACACAAAAAAGGATTATTGTGGGGAACTCAAGCGTGTCCAGTCGGGCCAATATTCGAAATTTTCTTATTCCCCTCCCTAAATTACATTATTCGTCTGTTTTTCTCAGTCGAGTTTCTATCTGAAGTCAGACTGAGTCACCCTCTGCCCGAAGACAGAAGTTTTGTCAGTCACAAGTCAGTCAGTGAACTGTGTAACTCGAAACAGCTAGGTATTTACCCAGTCGCCCCCTACTAGTATGAGATGTGACAAAATGTCAGACTTAACGTGGGGAACTCGGTCCACTGGTGCAAAATTTACCCATTCCCCACAATTGCAGAGAATGGTACTTTGCTTGGCGGAAGCTCTGTCTACGGATAGAGCCTCGTTTGAGTCATCCTCTGCCCGAAGACAGAAGACTTGTTAGTCGCGAGCCCGTCATCGAATTGCCTGGGTCGAAACCACGAGTCATACCGCTGACCTGGAGCACTTTATAGAAATGGTCAAGTTCATATAGTCACCGGGGGTTTACTATTTACTCCACAACAATGGTTATTTTTTTGATTACTCTACTTTTATTGTTCTCGCTCATAAATAAAGATTATTCTTTTTACTTATTCTTTCACATTAATTAACCCCTTGTGACTTAGTGCATTTATTGCCTTCCTTCGGGTGAAATGATTAACAAAATATTAGAAAACTGTACAACAAGCGACATTTGCACTAAGACTTGTATTTTTTTTTATACTTGTCTGCAATTTTTAAATATAACTTGAAGATGAAAGACATTGTCGAAAGAGTGTTAAACATTGCTGACTATTTTATTTCTTAAATTGCGATCTTCACCCAAAATAATAATAATAATAATAATAATAATATGCAAATATATAAATATTAACATTATCATTATTCCTGCTAGTAAAGACTTATATTGTTGAGTTGTTCAGCATTAATATAAATCCGGAGAATTCAAATGACAATTATCAGATAATGCAGACAAAATGACTGGCATGTCTATAAAAAGAATCGGAATAAAAATAGCAGACGAAAACAAGAGCAGTGAACTAATTATGGCAAAACAAAAATCAATTAGACGCAAGCAATTAGCAGCAGTCGTCGTTGTGGGGTAGAAATAGACGAGTCAATCGAACTGACCCAAAAGAAATACAAAAATAATCATGATTGATGGGATGTATGATTCACTGGGAATTACGCAATAAACTTGCGCCGGACTATACGAAGTCTGTTATAACAAATCAGATATTGTCTTTATGAAAAAGAATTTGCGTTGAAGTTTTAAGATTCAAGTAATCACTCGAAAAATACACAGAAGATAAGTCTTAATATTGTTAAAACACAACGTCACCAGGCGGTAATTATTACATACATGCAGTCAAGTTCACTCGAAATTATTTTATTTGAGTGTCAAATTTCTAGTGTTTTGATGACCAGCAGTAACATATATAACATAAAATCTTCCAAGTGGGCGTCCTTTGAAAAAAAAAAAAAAAAAAAAAAAAAAAAAAACAGATAAATAGATGACAAATTCGGGAAGAAGCGACTTTTGTCCGAAAGTTAAGATTCCACTTCCAGCTTTATTTAGAGAGTCTCAGTTAGAATGACAGGTAGAAGCTGCCGGTTAAGATGCGATCTGGAACGCCCGGGAGAGAGTAGTTTC